ACTATCTTTCCCTTAGAAAAGACGTCTCGTACACGGATATTTTCGACGTTTTTCATCAAATTCGATCCCAATGATCCCAATTCAGATGTTTTTTTTAAGAACAATCGACGTAGTACGATGTTAAATGCGAAATTAATGATCGATCGTGACTGAGATGTAAATGGTTTTAGGCGTCTTGGTGTCGATAAATTTGTACTTTAAAATAGTAGCCCGTAAATATCGGCTGCCCTATGGCTCTCTATAGAGAAAGTGTGTGTGTGTGTGTGTGTGTGTGTGTGTGTGTGTGTGTGTGTGTGTGTGTGAGAGAGAGAGAGAGAAACGAGAGTAACCAGCGTAAGTATCGATCCCAGAAGCCACACCTCGACGCAGCGCGACGCAGAGTTACGCGTTTCCGCGACTACGTTTCCACTCGCGTGTCCCTCGACCTCTACGTTAAGTATAGTTGGTTATAGTAAATTAAGTATGATAAGTATAAAACATGTAAAACTTATTTCTTAACTGCTTGAGTGTACTCGTCAAAAACATAATAAATTGCCCTTTCTTTTGTGAGATGCCAATTTCATGTTTTCAACCTTTTAATTTTCAAATACAGAGGCCAAGGAACATTTTAACATTACTGATGAAAAGACAATAGTTTCCACCAAGAAGTTAGCTTCTGGATAATAGAGAATATCGTTGATATTCTTCATTTTGTTATTCCGTGATCAAGCGAGCTTGGTTTCGAGCGCGTGAATAACGACGCACGACGACGTCGATTTTTCGCGTGGATTCGGCCTCACTTGACATTAATTGAGGCCGATTCGAGCCGAGATGCCCGTGTTGTTGTATCGTATCGCGGGGAATAACGCGGTCTCTTGGTTGACCTTAATGAGAACGTCGGTTGATCGCGGGAACTGTCTCGCGGATGCAAATGTTCCTCCGCGTGCGTGTCGATCACACGCCTGGTGATTCGGCTGCTGCCCAACGATCTATGGAACGATTCCTTTGATCTCGTTTCAATCCGAATACCCACGTTACGTGAACAGTTTCAAATTGTAAATTATAAGTGAGCCCTTGGTGTTATCATTTAACGTTACTAACGGTGTATTTATTAAATGTATGCTTCTGAGGTATTTAGAGGTTTCGAAGGAATGTTGTGAACCTCTCATCCCCTGAATTAATGTACTCATACGTGTAGATTCGGATATAATGATTGTACCTACTGAGCAAAATCATTATGTATACGATGACATTTGAATAATGATTATTTAGACTGACTATATCCGGATATATTGTATTGGTATACATATAGATTTAATTATTTATTTATTTATTTATTATTGGGAGACATTTGTATTGATACAGTTCAATATCAACTCATATATTGATATGATATAGGCATTGAAAACCCCTGTTAAGTGACCGTCGGTGCAGCTAAGAATACTCCATTTATGTACAAACTGGGAATGAAAATTCATCACGAAAATTCACTTATATCTCTAAAAGATTCGACTGTCATACCTATAACGTTTGGTTCGTTAAGTCATATGTAGGAGTTGAAGGAACAGATTTTAACGCTTTGTCTCTCTTTCTGTTCCAGTGAGATTACACGACAGCATACAGGAGGAGAACTGCCACTACCTCGTTTTTGACCTGTAAGTAGATTAATCGTCGGCCGAATCGAAAGTTTCCGATCGAAGTCGAGCTTTTCCTCCCTCCCGTTCCTCTTCCCCTATCCGATACGAATCATCCGCGGAGTCAATAGCGGTCGAGCGAGTTTAATTTAATCTCTTGCGCCGGAGTTGCCGGATTCCAATTGGATCCTCTCTTTCTCCCCCTCTGTGTGTGTGTGTGTGTGTGTGTGTGTGTGTGTGTGTGTGTGTGTGTGTGTGTGTGTGTGTGTGTGTGTGTGTGTGTGTGTGTGTGTGTGTGTGTGTGTGTGTGTGTGTGTGTGTGTGTGTGTGTGTGTGTGTGTGTGTGTGTGTGTGTGTGTGTCCCGGCCCGAAATTCGAGTTCGCTCCGGTGATCCGAGGCCACCGGAGGCGGTGCCACAGTGGTCGATTATTCGAAAAAGTGGGAGAAACGTCGGTATTACTTGAAAACTTACTTACTTTACTTTATTGGCAAATAATAGAATTAAACATACGTCTTGATACAATTTTATCGAGTAATCACTTGTGTGGTCTTTACTTTGCAAACAATTACCAACCCATAGAACATCTCTTACATTCTACATACAATCATTAAAACTACCAAACCGTAGAAAATTAAATATTAAAATTAACTATAGAAAATTGAAAATAAAATTAATTACATTATATAGTTGCTGTCAACTAAACCATGGGGACCGTTCAAGGTGCCGTTTCATTAACACCTGAAATGGTACCCGGGGCAAATTGGCGGGTCTATAAAAAGTTTTGGTCCCGATCTCGGTTTTCAGAGTTACCGGCGGCGAACTGTTCGAGGATATCGTCGCGCGGGAATTCTACAGCGAAGCGGACGCTTCGCACTGTATCCAACAAATTCTGGAAAGCGTACACCACTGCCACCATAACGGAGTTGTGCACAGGGACCTGAAAGTACGTATACAGAGAGAGGAATATTAAGCGTTTAAGCTGATATTTTGAGCAACAGTTTCGGAGGAACAGCCTCCAGCAGTTGGAAAATGGACTATTCTTCGAAAAATGGAAACTCACGGACGATTTAGTTTTTCAATTTTTTGCCTACCAATTTTGTTCCATAAATGGAGGTTTTAAGTTTAAACAAAGTAACTGCTGATCCGTAATTGTAGAACCTCCTGTAAATGTTTCTAATAATAATTTGTTTAATATTTCGCTAGTTGTTTCGTTGGAATACAATATTTAGTATAGGTATATACACTGCGGTTCATGAAAATGTTTGCCCATTCATTGTTGGATTCACTTTACCAAAAAAGTGGTACCAAAATTGGTGTATTGCCACCGAAGAAGGTTCATCTCGTTGAAACGTCTGAAATTACTAAAATTTTAACCTGAAAATTCTTGGCAGTGTTTAATAAAATAATACCTGTGAATATCTCGTGAGGTCGAAGGATCCGTGTCAGGGAGGCAGAGAGATGGAGAAGGGGTTGAGGGAGGGGGGGGGGGGGGGGGGGGGGGGTTGGTAGGAGTTAAGTATGGGTAAAATTAATCCGCCGAGTGACGAAAGCGAATAATAAGAGAGTATAAGTGGAAGAAAAGAGCGAGGACGGCCGTAGAAAAAGTGGTGTTTCGGTGAAAATCTGAAGAAGTAGCTGGTAGAAGAGTAGATTCGCGATGTGAGTCAAGCATCGCAAATATAGAGGATGGTCCGTCGTTAATTATGCTGAATTTTCGCGAAAAAATACGCGGGATAAAATTTTTGCAAACAGAAGTTCTGTTTTTCGAGAAAAATATTTCAGCAAATTTCTCAAACGTCGTTCAAACATTGAATAGGTCGTGTCTGGTCGTTACCTGACGTTTCTACTTACAGTATACACTGATCCATGCGTATTTGGACGTCCAACAAAAGAGTATTCGCATGTAATCAGTGTTCTGTAATAGAATGCAATAGTCTGTATAAATAAAAATTCCTGTTGCAGCCCGAAAATTTGCTCCTCGCGAGTAAGGCGAAAGGGGCGGCTGTGAAACTAGCGGATTTCGGATTGGCGATTGAGGTGCAGGGTGACGCACAAGCATGGTTCGGTAAGTTCACTCTTCTCTTTCTCTACTTAGAGTGATTCAAGAGAAGTCTCGGTATCTTGACAATTAATTATTTTACTCTGAATCCTTTGGAGAGTCTCAATGGGCACAAGAGGATTATTCGAATAAAATATCACAATTTTGAATATCGATTTTGGATAAGGAAATCTTTACCTGAATCGATTATAGAGCTCTGAATCCTTTAGCAGAGCTGTATCAGTCTGATTCCATATTTTTCGAAATTAATAAATCAGATGTCGCTGGATCATGTGGATCTTACTTACGAAACTTTTCAATGAAACATCGAATATAACAGGTGTAATTTCAGCATGTAATTCAAATAAATGAAATGAGAGTGCGTTTAAGGATTCGAAAGAGAGTTCAATAATCAAAGATGATCGTATGTTCAATTGTTTCCATATATGTACAGGGAATTTCCGTGCGATGAAAGTTAATCATAGGTTGTAAGTTCACATGTCCGTCGAACGAATAAATCGTAATGATTCTATGAAAAAAAAAAAAAAACAAAAAGGTTTCGCCGGAACGCCCGGTTACCTCAGCCCGGAAGTCCTCAAGAAGGAACCGTACGGGAAACCGGTGGACATCTGGGCGTGCGGTGTCATCCTCTACATCCTCCTCGTCGGTTATCCGCCATTTTGGGACGAGGATCAGCATCGGCTCTACGCGCAGATCAAGGCTGGATCGTACGACGTAAGAAACCGTCCGCTTGCGCGGATCCTCTTCCGGTTCCGGTGAAATTCTACGATTTAAACTGCTCAACTATAGCTACCCCTTACCCTATTTCATATTACATTCTATAATAATACAATTTTACGCTGTATCGTATCATTTTTTGCGTAAGCTACACATCATTGGGGTTTCCAATTCATTTTCACGAGAAGACTACTGTGACCTGTCTTGGTTTATACACTTGTCATTTTAGAAATTTTATAGACGATAGTTTTTATATAGTCTTTATTAATTTTTTGTTGGTTCGATATCTCGAATTTGTCGATATTTTGTATATACAGTTTCCTTGATTCTGACTCGAGAAAGAGAAAGGAAGTTCAGAATAGTTCAGAGGCAGTTAGGTATTCGAATATTTAAACACGCTGCAAATGTGTTTCGCCAATTTACTTCATCTTTGTTGTTGTACAGTTACAAGATAATTTTTGTTTTTTACTAGTAATTATTCGAATTCGTTTAATCTGTAGTATCCCAGCCCAGAATGGGACACCGTCACACCGGAGGCAAAGAACCTGATCAATCAGATGCTGACGGTGAACCCGAGCAAAAGGATCACCGCCAGCGAGGCACTGAAGCACCCATGGATCTGCGTAAGTACCAAGATTAAGATAAAAAACTAGTGAAAATTTTTATAAATACGAGCGATCTGTCCATCGGAGTTTTGCCGAATCACGTTTACATCGTTTTTCTGTTTTTCTGTTACAGCAACGCGAACGCGTCGCATCCGTGGTCCACAGGCAAGAGACCGTGGAATGTTTGAAGAAATTCAACGCGAGGCGCAAATTAAAGGTGAGTCTCGTATGGGGTGCGCCCTTCGGTGTTTAATTAAGCGATACTCCCGTCGGTCGATTGGACGCGCGAATAATTAGAGGAGAAAGGGGTTGGGTGTACTGGGGGGCCACGAGGGTTATTTCTCAATTAATAGAATCCACCGTGGCGGGACGGAAACGTGTATTCGGGGAACACGTCTGGCCCCGTGGAGGACTATCGTGGGGCAAACTAGTTACAGCAGAGGCCGAGTTTTGATTTCGCGACGTCCCACAGTGTGACGAGCAATGGATAAAAGTAAAAGGAAAAAACAGTTGTCTAAAATTCATAGTTTATTATATCTGAAAATACTATACTATGGGCTTTTATAGTTTTTTGTTCTTAATTATTATCTTTTTGTAATCGAAAACATTTTTTCAGAAATAATACACTCTGTTAGATGATCAATCTTCTGTTTCGCCTGAATCGATCTGTCCAGTTTAAGTTCCTGAGTTTTCATATTTTTTTGTCGAATTATTGTCCTTTTAATGACCGAAAATGTTCTTCGAAGATAATTTACTCTCGAAGATACTAAACCTTCTGTTTGGCCCGAATCAATAGAGCTGTGGCCCGATAACTACTATTTAACTGCTGTTTTCTAAATATGTACGTTACTTATCGCTGCTTTTCTTTCCTTTTCAAAGTCTAGATTCGTACAAAGTTCAGTTTTCCTTTTGTTTAGTTGCCAAGGGACTAAGTTCAATTCTTTCCCCACTGAACACTGCCATGTATGTATATATTGCTCTACGAAAAGAAACTGTCAGCAAATCTTATTCGTAAACGAGGCTCGTAAGTCGTAGAGTGTAACGAGTTCGATTCCGTGTGAATACTAGTCTTTTCTTATTATATCGGTTGTGAAAATACCATCGAAGAACAAGTGTGCCCGTGTTATTATTGTTTACGAAACGCTCGTGGGAAAACGATTGAATTAAGTGCGAGGAAATTCGGTCGGGCCTGGACGAGGAAGCAACGTGAAACATGAGGTCGTTCAAGAGCAGGTTTACATCGCGCAGGCAACATGAAACGATCGTTCATCCCGAGGTACAGTTTGTTTCTTCGTGACAAATTATTAAACGATTCAATTTCATCTACCGACTCGTTCTCAGTTGATCCTTATTTCGCAAAAAAAAAAAAGAAAAAAAAGACAATGGAATCCACGAGATCAACTTCCAAGTTCATTCATTAGTTATGAACTCGGGCAATATCGATGCTGCTTTTTTTTATTAATCAGAAATCTTACAGAAATCTTACATATAATAAACGATCTGCGGCCGCCCAGGTGCAAGGACACCTTTTGCAACCCTGCCAGGAACGACCCTGGCTAGATAGACGAATTAACCCCCTATCCCGTCCGTTAATTTCCATGTCGAGTGTCTTTTATCGAAATGAAACCACGCTATCGCGCGCGCGCGCGCTCATTGCGTTTAATCGTCGAAAGTCTAAAAGATGAAAGAAACCGGGATGTTTTATTCATTCGAACCACTACACTCCTCCTCCAGGGCAAAAAAGCCCGACGGTGTCTTTTTCGCTCACCTCTTTGTGTTTCTCTTGTTGCTTTCACCGTGAAGTTTTCTTTCATACGCCGATGTTCTTTGGTCGTGTTAAGGTTGAATCCACTCGCGTCCGGTTGCGCAAGATCAATATTTATCGGCAAACGATTGCTCAACGCGGTCGAGGCTTTTATTAGGTTCCTCGAGAAAATAATGACCGGCTGCGAACGGTGTTAACACTATTTTATCTGTTCTTGCTTCTAATTACGAAAGAAAAGTAGTGGAATGTTCAACGTTTCATTTTGTCTGGGCATAATGAAAATTCTAAGGAGAAAAAAAACCAATTACAGCAAAGAAATGACGATAGTAATTTATTTCACCACTTAATAATGTCTTTCAAAATTAATCGATTAAAATATACTTACAGATTTACTGTAGTTTGCTACTAAAAATTGTAACCTAAAAATGTTCTTAAAATAGAAACGAATCACTTTCTTTCTAAGGAATACAGTCCATTCTTTTCTATAGGAATAGTATTTCTTAACGCGATTTCAGATATGGTACAAGTGGTTCGTTTTTACAGAATCCTACTCACGACCGTAAAACCCCAACTTCTGAATCATCCGATACTTTCCAGAGCGCATCCAGCCAAATGTCTCTAATTACGCTACGATTTTGCTATCGAAATGTCTTTTGATCCGTTGTGCACCGTGTCTCGTCAATCAAGGTCCAAGGTTCATCGTCGTAATAACGACGACACACAAGCCGCCGCGCGCACATCGGAAGTGGTCGCACGTTATGTTGCGTCTACACTATATTATGATATATTATGTATCAGATGACACGTTATATGTATAGTAAAGTTAAGTAGTAACTTCTTAGAAAAACAGAAAGAAAAATGTTATGTAACACTTTTTGTGTTTTATAGCAAAGTTATATAACACTATTTTGCTTATACAGTGTAGACGTAGCTTTAGTCGAAAAATTGAACGACGAAAATGGTCGTCGCTCTGGATCGTCTCTCTGCTGATGAAAACGTTCCGGAGAATTAAAACGTCCGACGAACGTATTATCCGATAAAAATTGCCGGTTAAACTGAGTTTTTTCATACCGGGGGCAGTTCTTCCATTTGGCCGTGATCGAGAAAGTTCGGGTTAATTAGAGACCGCGGTACTTAACCTGTTACGCAGCGTTATTGCGGCATTCGCTGCCTCGAATGAATAACAAAGCTCGAGTTACCACCTGTTTTTTCTCTCCCTTTACTCTTTCGCTCTTAGGTCTCGTGAAAACGTTTTGTTCGTTTTTTTCTCTACCTTTTCTCGTTGCACGACCGCCTGGTGGTCTCGTGTTTCTTGATTGATATTTACGGCTTCTGCTCGAGTTTCTGCGCGGACTGCTTCTTGCTCTCGCGTTGCTTTTGATGCATTGCGACCCACTGCGGGGTTGCGATCGTTTGATACATCTACAGGTTGATTCAGAAACGATGAAACGCGATCTATTGAATTCTGATGTTCTGTTGGAATTGTTGGTTGGAAAGAGAATCGAAACGTCCTGTAGAGGGATGTCGGTATTTTCTTGCGTGGGAAAATGGAACACCCTGTACGTCGACATCCGATACTTCGGACCTCGTGTGTTTTATGTGCAAACGAAATGAATGAAACGTGTTGTAGGGTGACGTCGATATGTTCTTCGGTAAAGAAATGGAACAACCAGTACGTTACTGCAGGTGACGTCTTCGAGTACTTTCTATATAATCGAGACAAATGATACAACTTACATATTCTATTACCACCTCGTATATTTTACGTACATTATAATTCTTGCTTACATGTTCCACGTACGAACGAGTATAGTACTTTCTCGAGTATTGTACAGACTACATAAATGAAACGCCCTGTACATTCACAGAAACCGACGTGTTCTTCTTTCTTCAACACCGTTGAATCTTTCCGTCCACCGTCAACGATTAATTATCAGCAATTTTACTAAATGTACGGGAGCAGCATGTCTCGCGCGGAAGAAAATTGATCGTATCGCGCGTCCAAACGATTTATCATATTTTCCCCCCTGAGATCGTTCGCCGACTCCGGAAGGACAACCCGCATGCACCTTTGTCCCCAATTAACGCAACAAGAATTAACTATGATGGTTTTCTGTTTTTTTTTTTGTCCGCAGGTCGCCATTCTGACGACCATGTTGGCGACGAGGAACTTTTCCAGTAAGTATGATGCACAGGGTAAGTACCTCCGGCCCTCTTCAGCGCTTCATGGACCACGACAGACAGTACTTTTATATATCTCCTATTAAATTTTACCCCCAACACCCTCACCCCTTCATCCTCTGTCTCTCTGGTTTCTGCATCTTCGTTCTCTCTCTCTTTTTCTCCATTTGTCTATCTCTCACTGTCTTTACATTCCTCGATTCATAACCCATAAACCTGTCTCGTTTGTTCTTCCGTTTTGCACTTCCCCCCACCACCACCACCACCACCACCACCACCACCACCACCACCACCACCACTCCCAACTACCTCTTCTTCTGTGTATATTATATACATACAACGTGTATACGTATACATATATCCGAGGATCATGTTCATATTCAGCCCATTCGTTTTTTTTTTCAAGGGGGTGCTTCAAGACGTGGCCGCGCACGCAGCTTTTCTTTCGCCTTGTTAAGGCGTTAGTGTGTCCTCTCCAACTGGGTGAAGGTAGTCGAGAGGGTGGGATCGCGTGCCCCAACCCCCTCACAAGGGAAGGACCCAGATTGTACCATTTCGATTTTATCGATCTTTTGTTGGATGATAGAATACATATTTCTAATCATTTCTTGATAGTTTTGAAAGTTAAAAAAATACTATTAACTGTTTGATACTACTTTATCTGAAATATCGATTTTGCACGTTAAAAATCCAGCGATCGAGCACAACCCCCTAAGAACTCATTCAGGCAACGTAACCTCCAATTAAAATTCAAAGAGTTCTAAGCAAAAAGAAATGCAAACGGGGCCACGGAATGAAGCACCGTCGATCGTTTTTCTGCTCGTGCACCGAACGATCTAGATCCTCCTCCTCCTCCTCCCCCCCCCGTTCAATTGAATCCCCTAGATCTAGTCGACCGCGGAGCAGCGAGGTGAAAAACGTTTCACCGTCGGCAATGCCGACGATTCGTCTCTGATTGGCTGACCAGCTTGCTTAACGGCTACACGAAAAGTCGAAATTTCATCGATCCCCGTTCGGAGATCTTCGCCCGTTATTTCAGCCTCGCTCGCTCTGATCTCTCATCACAGTCATTCGCACACACGCATTCTCGTGTGTGTCTCTCATAGTCGATGCACTTGGCTCGCACACACCACCACATTTTTATCCTGCAAGGACCGTTGCTACGTTACCCAGAAACGAACACACACCGATTCTTTTCTCCGTAGACGAGACTCTCGCCGCTTGATCCTCAAACTTCTGCCCCCGCGAGATCTCTTTATTTTTGTTGTCCCTTGTGGTAAATGTGTGTCTGCAGACTTAGTCGGAGTGAACTTACGTGGAAAATTGATTTATCTATGGATTCATCGCGTTTTGCTATATTTGAAATTTTTTAAATTAAAATTTTTCACTCCAACGTTAATGTTAGCTGAATTGTAGATTCACGAACGAAAGGTGTACGAAAAGAAGGTAATTCTTTGAATGGGGGTTAGTTAGTCAAAATTATGACAAAATTTACAGGAAAAACTGATTTATCGCGTTGAAACTTGACGCTATCTACTATCTTGTTATACTTTCTACAAGATAGATAGACTATTCTCATTTACTTAACTCTCAGAGTCCTGTTTAGATTGTAACCCATACCTGATCAAAATTTTTTAGCAAATTCCCGGGCAATCAAGTGGTATCGATGATTAATGCTATAATTCTATTGTTTTCTTGCTGATTCAGTAAAATTCATTTTAATCTCGACTAACCCTGTACACACACACACACACACATTGAATTCTGGGTAACGCGAATAGTCGTCGCAGTGGACTCAAGCAGTTCTCTCTCTCTCTCTCTCTCTCGCTTCATCACGCTCTTTCATCGGTCAACGCATCGTGAGACGTTATCATATCGAGTCGTGAGACGTCATCGTATCGAGTCATGCTTCGTCGCTTTCGAAAAAAGACAACAAGGAAGAAAAAATACATTCATCCACAAGGGAGGGGACGTGCGCAACGCTTTTGTCAGCCATCAGTCGCTTCACGAACGCGCACTTCATCAGCTGTCTTCTGTTTTTTTTTCCTTTTTTTTTAAGTTGCGCGTTTCTGAATAACGTAGGCTGAACAACATTTCTTTTTTTGGCGATTGCGCCTCGTTTCGGTGAGAGTTACGCCGATCTTTTGATTTACGGACTTTCGGTCGTATGACGATACTTGTTGGTTTCCGAAGAGAGATTCGTTCGATTTCGATAGTATTGCATTTTTTTGTTTCTAGTATGAACTCTTTTTTAGGGGTATTGACTGACGTACGTGGCAATCGTAGAAGGATAAAAATCCCGTTGGTGAAATTTCTCTTGCAAATTTGTTGAATTGTCGATAGAGTTTGATTACAAATTCGTTGATTTATCGATAGATTGGATAGATTTCTGTTGCAAGTTCGTTGAATTTTCGATAGATTCGTGTAAAATTGAGCAGGATCTCGACAGTTTTTCAGTGCGTCCGATGAAAACCGTGTGTCATTATTTTTTTTCTGTTTTTTTCGGAAGTATTTCGATACCAAAAATATAATCCACAGTTTGTACCGAATTTCGGAAACAAAATTTCTGTACACACACGAATAACTAATTCTCTTACTTTTTCACGGTACTCTTTAATGGACTGATGGAAATTTCATTCGTTGACAGTATTGAGAGTTCTTTATTTTTCGATATTGTTTCATTGATTTTGGAACAATTACAAGTTGCAAATAATTACGATAATGCCGGTGATTTTAAAATCAGTGTTGATGTCGTGTAATTTCGTGTAATTTCGTGTAAATCTTAAATCGCGACTGAAAATTTATTTTATGTATTTATTTATTAGCGGGATATTACCCTTTAGTATGCAAAGTTATCGTAACAAGAGAAGGACGTGCATAAAAATAAAAAGAAACGATACATTAACGTTATATGGGAAATGGAGGTACGCGAATAATAGGTGGGGACTCTGATACTGTGGCGATTAACCAAGATAGAATCTAGGTAAAATCTAGATAAAATTAGGATAAATCCAGGTGAGATCGAGACAAAATCGAAACAAAATTGGGATAAAATCGAGATAAAATCGAGATAACCTACCGAACGCAACTGTTTCGGTCCACTGGCGAGAAATGTCCAGGAATGATTACCTACTGTGCGTTTAGTATGGCTGACCACTTTTAGTAGCTGGACCCCATTCTGTCCCACGGGACCGCAGCGCCAAACACGAGCCGCATTCGTGTCTCCCACACTTTCTCTTCTTCTGATGTATTCGTGTCTCCTGTTTTGAAACGTTGAAAATATCCCATCTGAAAAAAAAAATATTATTTCCGAGTCCTTAACACTTTGATCAGGAATATATCTGTTTGAATCGTTTCGATTCATCCCTGATCTAATATATTCATCGATCTATGCGATGTTGGAAAAATTTATTTAAAAAAAGTATTTTGTAAATATTCATCGTTCATTTCCATTTTTGTTTTTATTATTAAACAACGTTTCAAAATACCGAGCGTGAATATCGACAATGCAAACACTCCATGTCTCTGTATTCTGTACCATATTGTATACATATACGTACACACACGGACACACGTATCTACACACCCTGTTAGTTTTGTACACAGCGTTCACTCGTCCGCCTTCTGTACTAGATGCTCGATGAATAATTATACCTTATAGGTCCTCTGTGTGTATTACGTACACCTGTCGTACTGTAACACGCGTGTCTCTCTCTCTCTCTCTCTCTCTCTCTCTCTCTCTCTCTCTCTCTCTCTCTCTCTCTCTCTCTCTTTGTTGTTACCTTGCTCTCACACAAATACACACATACATACGTACGAGCAGCACAAAACCGTTACCCCTAGAACGCTACAGACTCCCTTAAGTTTAGACGAGTAGATGAGCATCTTGCATCCGTAGAGCCGGAGTTGGGCCTCGTTTGGGTGAAAACATTTATCCGAAGAAAATTTCGATTGTATTCTCTGTAACTCGTAAGTTCACTGTAATCTGAATAACGACCCGACCAAGTTGACGTTGTCTCAGCAAAATGTCTGACCCAGTTTGTAGAATGTCTGGATAGAATCTGGTCTATCCGAACAAATGGCAAATACAGTCTAAACTGCAAATAGTATCTAAAAATTCTCGCTGGTCCTGTCGAAAAGATGGAAATGTGTATTTTATCGAAATTAGTAAACCAAATATAACTTGCTGTATTTTATTAATTAACGCCTGGTTCTCCGTAAAAGCAACGGTTCGTGTAGTCTTGTAACATAGTGGTTTCTCTACATATATGTATGTATAAGGATTTCTGTCCTGGCCGATAAATGTTTACCAAGTACTTCGTACTTGTCTGGGTACAATATTCCAGTTGGCTGGTACTATTATTTTGATAAAATTGGTTTTATCTGAACGAGACGAGCCCAACTCCGTGTATTAGAGACGACACTGAACGGCGATACTCGTGTCACCGTACGGTCGCCACGACGACATGACTGTGGTTAGCCTGTATGTATTCCTTTCTCCGTTTGTTTGCCCCTTCTAAGTACCATATTATTATCGCGTACACTATTTTCTGTACGAAAGACACATCGTCGGAGACACTTCAGGTAGGGAACGTGGCATTGATTCACCGAATCGCCGCAGCAACACGTCGGTAATCCGCCGAATTCGACTTTGAATAGCGGAAATGCGTGAATAATCCCGTAGATTCGACTCGAATAATAGGAACACGTCAATAGTCCGTCAAGTAGGTACGACTTGAAGAAAAAAACACATCGATAGTCCGTTGAATTTGACTTGAATAGTACGAACAGGTCCGATAGTCCGTCAACTACGAATTGAACAACACAAACACGCTAACAGTTCACCGAATTCGAATTAAGTAGGACGAACAGGTCAATAATCCGCCAACTACGAATTGAATATCAAGAACACATCGATAGTCCCTCGAATACAATTTGCCTCGACAGAGAACAGCTCGAAAAAGACGAATATATGTATATTTAAGCAAATCGATAACTCCAACAGGATTTCTTTT